AGAGAGAGAGAGAGAGAGAGAGAGAGAGAGAGAGAGGAGGGCTGGGGGAAGTCGGCGGCAGCCGGGGGAGGTTAAGGTCTCGCGCAGGCTGTTTTACCTTTCTTTTTTTTGTTCTTTTTTGTTTGGTGTGTTGTTATGTTCTCTAAACAGAACTCCAGCCACGTGACACAATCGGACTATTCACCGACTCCTCAGGGGATTGACAGGTTGGGGGGGCGAAGGGGGAGGTGGGGATAGGGGAAGGTCGGGGTGGAGTAAAGGGTTCCAAGTTCGAAGTCAAGCGGGGAAGAGAGAGAGAGAGAGAGAGAGAGAGAGAGAGAGAGAGAGAGAGAGAGAGAAGGGGCGGGGCGGGGCGGGGGGACTGTGCCAAGCTGTCCATTATGTGACTCTGACACATGCTACTTCGTTTCTTCTTTGCCTTTTGCCTTCAAGAAAATGTTCCAAGATGCACGCCCGGCATTATGGCTCTCATGTCAATGCTACTCCCGACAAGTCCCCCACCTGAAGAGCAACTGCCAAGCAGATTGAATGCCGATTGTTCCATTCATACAACGCAAAACCTGCTTAACATCAGTGGCACTCCTATAGTTGGAGGCGGCTTCCAACACCTTCCCCGGGTCAATCGTCAATGACATCATCCGAGCCCACCAAACTGAGACTCACCCACACGCGCTTGCACTTGCACACACAGCGTCCAAATTCAACAAGTTAGCATGGGGCATACATAGATCGCTTGATCACAAACATATCCAGAGAACACAGCAAATAAAGTCTGATTCTGAATCTTTACCAAAAACATCAACGGGACAACGGACTGGATTTTCTCAGAAAAGTCCAGAGTACTTGCACAGCACAAAACAAAAACGATGCTGCAAAGATAACGTTTCCCCAAACAAAAGATAAAGAAAAAAGAATGTTCGGTAAAGCAAAGAAGAATGTTCGGTGGTATTCCGTGGTATTTTCTTGCACGAGGGTTTTTGTCTGCTCTCAGGCCCTTCTTTTTCTTATTGTGAAAGAAGCGGGATATGGTAGGGCAGTTCCTTAAGCGTTTTCTTTCTTTTGTGCTTTTTTCTTTTTCTGTTTTTGCGGGCAAAGCCGCAACGGGTCATCTAGTATACACATGATTGCTGCTGCTGACTTGTTTTTTGGCACCTTCCCAGGTATCTGTTGGCCGGCGTAACGGGGCTGTCACCGAACTGTACTCGGCAGCAAGCAGGTGAGTGAAAATGGTTTACGAAGTTGAGTGCGCTCCTTGTCCAATTTCGGTTTGGTGGGGGCCGTGTGCTAGAACTGAGTTCTGCAGCGTCTGCTTCTGTTTTCGAGAAATGTTGGTTTCTTTTCTTCACTGCCTTCTTTTCACCGAAAGTCTCAAATGATGGATTGGGGGCTTTCTATGTCTGAGAAAGGCTTCTTTGCCTGTGCTGGTCCCCTGGCGGTCCGCGCAGGGGAAGGTCACCCGCGTACCCTCGTGGGCGGCACAGGCCAATCGGGGTCTGGGCAGGGTCCCGGACGTTTCCAGCAAGCAAGATTAAAAATAGAAAGAAAAGGAATCAAAAAAGTGTTTCAAAATTAAAAAATCCGAAAATCAAATGTTTTGTAAAATTGCAATACAAACAACTTTTGCCTGAGGGCCACCTCGAAATTCCTTGTTAATTTTAAGATAAAAATAAATGAGAAAACATGTGCAATGACTTGCTGATTTCTGCTGCCGAGATCTGACTGCGAGGTTGTATAAGTGCGTCTTAGGGTCAGATTTGTAATTTTGTTTGTGTCAGGGACTAACCTCCGGTCCAGTCCTGAGGGAAATTCGTGAGGGACCTATCTGCAATTTACACGAAAATTGCAGGCCCGAGTTCCCCTTAGCTGGACTGCCCTTAGCAGACCCGGGCTATCACTAGGGCAGCAGGCCCATCTGGGCTTTGGGCTGTAGCGACGGTCTAGACGTCGTATAGCCGGGTAGGGCCCAGGCCGAGCAGGCCAAACTGATGCGGTACCGGTCCAGTAGGTCTAGGTTTAGAGTAGGCGAGTCTATTAATAGGACTGAGCCTGTAGTTTAGGGACTTTTTGGCTTTTACTTTTCGCTATGCAGGTTGTGAGCCAAGCAAGTTTGGTGGTGGTGATTGTCTACAGGCGGCATCCTGAGACCCTCATCGTGGACGACAGCCATAGTCAGCCTGCCAGTGTTTGCCATAGCTGGGGCACCCTCTGAGCATCTACCCCTGAGGGTATCTGCGATTGGCTGGGCTGTTCTGAGGCTCTTCACGGAGCGTATGTGGGTGGACCACTGTCACCCTTCACTCCTTAGCGGTTGTCAGGGCCTCGTCAGTGGTGTGGCAGCCATAGCTGCCATCTTCTTCGTCAGAGTTACTCATCGGCACTGAAGACTTCATTGCGATTCTTCTTCTTCATCGGGATGGTTGGCGCTGGCCTCTGGGAGGCGGATTCAGTGTTGTGCTACTAACTGGATGTAGGATAGAGAGTAGTGTGTGGTGTTCTGAGAGCGGCGAGATACGAGGATAAACTCTTGGTTTGAGTTGGCCCATCCTGAGTGTGATTCCGATTGTTATCCTCGCAGGTGTCTTCTTGTGATTGGTTGTTGGGAGCTTGTCAGAGAGTGAGAATCACTGTGTGTCTTGTCCTCATCTGTGCATGGTTGAATTCTGTTGCTTATCTATGTCTGTGTGCAGTTTGGACTCTGTCTCCTCTCCCCTTTGTCTGGTATGTGTGTGGGCGTGTGTCAGACACTCTGTGTGTGAGTGGCGAGAAAATCGTTAGACAACCGAGTTCATAACAGTTGGTATCGGAGCGGGATTGGAATTGGAGGGGGGTTGAGCGCGACGGAGGCATCTACTTCATCTGGCGATCTACTGGCGAGAAGTTTCATGGCGATTCTCCTTCTCCAGTACTGAGACAGTAGAGAAGAATATTTCAAGTGATGAATTCAGGAGTTCAGTGCTTGCACTGAACAAGCGCACTGAGCCTGTCAGGGCGCTTGTCGGGAAGTGGCGAGAACAGGGCTAATTCGCCATAGCCAACCCTGAGGGCAATACAACGAATTGCCTCAGAGTGGCAAATTACTGCTGAGGACTTCAGAGACCTCTAAGCGGCTTCGTCCCTGAGCAGCGCTGAGGTGGATTGACAGTCTGTGTCAATCCCAAGGAGATTAACCCCATCTGGGGCTATTTATAGCATCAGCGGCTGTCAGGCATTGTGGCGGGATAATTTTCTGTTGGCTTTCTGAGCGCCATAGGGTCAGATTCAGTGAATTTGACTAGAGGGGCTGAAGCGCCTCAGGATCCTAAACAGGATCAACAAGTTTGGAGAGATTTTGTGCGTCGAGGTCAGAGGAGGAAATTTTGGAAGAAGCTGGCGAGATGAGGGTTTCAGTCTGCCATAGCCAGATCTCCATCAAGCTTTGCAAGTAACTTTGAAAGTGAGTCTGTTCCATGCAAATCTTTGTATAGAGATTCATATAGGGTTGTAATAGCTTGTATTAATGGTCTGTCTGTCTATCAGTGTCTGAAATTGAAAATCGCAGACTGCATGACAGCCATAGCCATCTCTCTCCTACCTCCTTGTGCTCATTTCTTACCCTCTGTTGACTCTTTTCTATCCAGAATTGTTATGTGACTGCAACCCAGAATTGTTATGTGACTGCCTTACTGTATTGCGCTTGATCTTGGATGCTTAAACTGTGAATTCTGTAGTGGAATGGTAGAGATATTGTGAATTGTAGCTTTGCGCCGAAACCAATTGTAGCCTGTGCTAACTAGGGTCAGTCATAACTCCAATTCTGACCGTCAGAATTAAATTCTGTCAATTTGTAGTAAATTGCAATTTAGTAGTTGCCAATAGGGCAGAAGCGCTTGTCTGGATTTGCAGTATTCCACTAGATACGGTGAATATTGTAATTTGCCATACCCAAGGGTATGGCTGCCAGAGTCATCAGGGCCGAAAGTGGAGTCTGAGCCTGAGCTAGGATCTAAGCTTTCTGATTGAATCGCTTATCTGGTTGGTCATTGTTGTCTAGTCTTGGCGTGTCTTTTCATTCTCACTGATCTCTCTTGCTTTCTAGTGGGATCTGGAAATCTAGGGTATCTCTAGAATTGCTGGAGTTGTGTACACTAACTTTAGTAAAAGTTCAGGGTCAGTAAAAGGAAATTGTGTGGTTGATTTTACTAGACTGTTGTCTATCTCACCCCTGACCCCAGAGAAACCGTTCTAACCCAAACCGCTTGTTGCCTATTCACCCACCTACCTCTCCGTATGAGACATCAGCGATTTCTGAGAGTCTGAAGGAAATTGAAGATCGCTGCCTACTCCCTTGCTGTCTACTAACTTTGTTTTCTGAAAGAGGAAAATGACAGATAAGGAGGCTCAGCAGCAGCCACAGGGGGAAGTAGTGATGAAGGTAGAAAAACAACAACCTTCTGCCTCCACCCCTACTACCCCTCTGACTGCTACTCAGCGAAAGGAGGAGTTACAGGAAAGACTGCAGCAGGAGCAGGCCCTGCTTGCAGAACTTGAGAAGCAAGAGGTAGCCGAGCTGGAAGCTGCGACAGATGCGTCACGTGGAGAGTATCTGTTGGAGCAGCTAGCCAAGGCTATGGCAAATGACCGCTGCGCCTAGGTGACTAAGAATTTGGCGGAGTGGGCCATTCTGGAATACAAAGCCACCAGTTCTTACTTCACTAACTGGGATGACCGCATAGGCCGTCTGGAGCACAGAGTGGATGACCTGGCGGCTCAGCAGTCAAAGATACTGAATCCAATTCGGGATCTGACTGCTCAGCTGGCAACAGCCAAATTGATCCCTCCTCATTCTCCTGCACTCTCAGTGAAACCTTCTCCTTCTCCTTCCCCATCTCCATCTGGTTCACGCCCTTCTTCCCCTTCACCACCTCACTCCCAAAAAGCTGCAGTCCACGGCCACGATCAGCAGCACGGTGGCCGCCATCAAGACGGACATCACCAAACTGCAGTCGCAACCGGTAACAGCTGCGAAGGTATACAAGATGCCACGCTTCAACATCGGCAAGTTTGAGGACTACAACAAGATCGACGCTTTGACATGGTGGCAAGCCTTCCTCACCGAAGCGTCCTGCCACAAGGTCCCAGCCGAGGACATGATGAAGACACTATACCTCCAACTCATTGGAGGTGCGCAGGCATGGATGAACCACCTCGCGGTTAACAAGGGAACCACTATCGCCGAGTTACACGAACACCTCACGTGGGAGGATTTTGAGCAGTTGTGGTTCACTCGATTCATGGTCCCCAATGTTGTGAAGGCGGCCATGAACGAGGTCTACACTTGCTCACAGGGAAGCATGCCAACTCGAGACTGGACGATCAAGTGGCAGAAGATAGTGACCACGCCAGGCTTCGATTTGAGTTTCCCAAACCAACGATCCGAGTTCACTCGCGATTGTGCGCAGGACTGCGAGTGACACTCAACAATGAGTACGATTATGCCTCATTCCAGGCTATTCTGGATCGTGCGAACCTCGTCATCCAAACGGACGACAAGGCCGCTAACGAGAAGCAGTCCATAGTGCGGTTCGTCATCCAAACGGACGACAAGGCCGCTAACGAGAAGCAGTCCCAGCCGCACTATGTGGCTAAGCAGGGCTATCAACGTCCGACACATAACAATGCCGTGATTCCCAAAGAATCAGTCGATCTCCACGCTGCAGCAACATTCTCGAGTGATGGAGGAACTGTTGCAGCTCTCCCGCCGAAGCGTCCCAAGAGAGTTCGGAAGAACAAGGCGACACAAGCGATGACAGCGACGGGAACTGGGCAGCAACCATGGACGGCATACAACACAACCAAGGAGGTATTTGACTTACGTCAACGGTACGGATATTGCCTATGGTGCAATAGTGTTGTCCACACTACCGCACAATGCCTGGACAAGGGCAAGGCACGCGTACCCTGTCCAACGAACTCGGGAAACTGAGTTACGCAAGGAGAGGGGCGACGCCTCTCCTCACTCCGCCGGAACCGGTTGCCTTGCTAGCAACCGACGTCACTTACCGGGGAGCATGCGTTAGTCGCTGATTCTCGTGCTACGTATGAGGATTATGCCGCCCAACTGGTACCACCATTAGACCAGCCTAGCCACGCGATTTAGATAGCGTATGCGCAGCCTGTACACCATCGGCAAGTGATCCGGTCAACTCGCCACTGATTTTCGAGGACTCGACGGCGTGG